TATGTTCAAGAGTTCCTGTTTTTAAGAAGACTTTTTTAAAAAAAAAAACTGATGTTTTTATCTTGAATCAATATGATCAGGAGTTTTTGGAATTACTTTTCACCTTAAATTGAAATAGTGCATTTTTATAGTTTCTCAGAGCATGTGGAAGGGATAGAATTTTCATTCTTTTGCTGGGTCAGCTTGTCTTTAGTATATATACTACTCTTAAACCAAAGCCTCTAATAAGAGCACCTAATTTATATTTTAATTACAGTGTAAGTGTCTATCAAGTAAACCATGCTGGAGCTTTGTTTAGCTGCTCATAACTTCAACTAAAATTATCAAGAATGAAAATTTTCTTCTAAATATTATTTAGCAAGCTTTACTCTGTGGTACAAATCACTTTAAAATGGAAGAATTAATTTTGGAAGTAAAGGAATCCCAGTTCCCTAAGTGTTGAAAATTTGCATCTGACTTTCAAGGTGCGTGGCATGTCATTCAATCCAGAAGGCAATCAAAACTCCGGGGTGAGAGTTTGGAAAAATCTGAAATCACAGGTGGATTTTTAAATTCAGCCAACAAAAAATATATACCTTCTGTTTTTAAAAACATTGATGTGATATTTTGGACAACTTTTGGATTTTGCAGTTTAAATATCAAGTGAAAAGAACATTTATGTTCTGGTTCATGTGATATAGTGGGTTCCAGTCTGTGTTTTTGAAGCCAAAGGGTTCCTCAGAGGTGCCTGATGAGTGATGGTTTAGAAAGGGAGGGAAAGCCTAGCCTATCCTCATCCCTTCCCCCTTCACCCAAAGCAGCTTCTATTTTTTCTTTTATATATTGGAATTCTAAGTAAGCTTTCCTGGGGTGTGTTGGTATGGGGGGCGGGTAGGGAAATGAGTAGGATAAAACAAGTGGAGACTTTGCTGCTTTAAAAACAATTTTCTGAGTATTTTAATGTATTTTATTTGGCCAAATTTGACTGCTACAAAAGCTAGTCATAATAACTGTGCAGCAGTAATGTGCAGCTATGCCAACCTTTCTTCCCACTGTTTTTCCTACTGCATTCTTAGTACTGAAGAAAATCTTGAAATGTACAGAAATGCTATTTGATTATCAGTAATTTTTAGCTTTTGTGAAAGTACATTAGTTACAGGTCCATCTCTCTTTTCTATAAAGCACGAGTGCAGTTTGTAGTTGTGCCTACTCTTATAATATTTCAGTAAAAAGTAAATACACGATGAATACTTTCTAGAATTCATAACTGACAGGGATGCCGTAATAATAAAATTATATTAACAGTTTTCATGTACAGTATAAAGAAGGCAGAGCTGGGCGCGTGGTGCTCACTTGTAATTCCAGTTACTTGGGAGGCTGAGGCAGGAAGATCACAAATTTGAAGTCAGCCTCAGCAAATTACTGAGACCCCCATATCAAAAATCAAAAGGGGATAGGGATCTAGCTTAGTAGTAGAGTACCCCTGGGCTCAATCCCCAGTACCGCACGTACACACAAATAAATAAATATGAATAAGTAAAAATTAAACAGGCAAATGTCATCTCTTTTTGAGTGCCTTTTAACTTTATAATAATGACTTAATAGAACTTAAAGAGAAAGAAATTATCCTACATAATATGTCTATGGTACCACCAACATAATAAATGAAAACATGATTTCGATTTCAATTTCAAAATTACATTAACTGATTACTTCCAAATGGGTGCTAATCAAACAAAAACACGCAGTGTGTCATTGAAACTTGGATTTGCACCTCATGTTTAATGTGAATATTTATTTCCACACATCCCTTTAACTGTTTTTCTTCCCTGTCCTTTCTCTAGCTATTATTTCGGATAATGTTAAGTGTCACCTTTCCATACTTTTGCCAATTCCATCATGAATTCATTATTTTGAACAGTGATTACTTTGTAGAGCTTATATGTAGTACAGCGATGCATTTTGATTCAGAGGGCTTGTTTCTTGATGTAAAGAGTTTTTAAATAGTGCTGTGTATAGTGTACATTGTTTTGCACATAGTTTGTTGCCCTGAATGGGTTTATTTTTTTTATCAAGTCCTTTTTTCTTTCTTGTATTTACAATCCAGAGCACAAGTTTCTCCTCTTTTAAATACAATGTAATTTGCTTTATTTTACAACACTAAATCTGCTTTAAACTTCGGGTGCATTGGACTGATTGCACTGGCGGGAGTTAGAGATGGTTCCAGCCACCTCTGTGGTCTGGTAGAGCAGCTTCCTCTGCTTCTGTGTTTAAGCTGCAGCGTAGTCAACGGGTGCCATTTGTGGTATTTAACATTCTTACATTAGGATGATGATTGTACCAAATGCTGAGTTGTTTTATTTCTAGATGTAATTAGTTCACTTTATGTAATTTTCTTCCTTCTCTTGAACTGACTTTAAAAACAAAGTTTTATCATTTTCATTGTATTTGTATTTATTACAGAGTGTTTTAGCTTTGATATTCTTTGTATTTTCACTCAGTTACATGAGCTTTATCAATAACATCTACATAAATGGTTTTTAAAAATTAACTATGTATGTGCCCATGCCGAAGTTGAGCAATAAAATGAATGCTGTTTGCACTATCACAGCATCAAAGTTTTTAAAGAATATTGTGTGTAATGAATTGTCTTGAAAAAATCTGATTGGCTCTACAAAAGGTGATAAGCATGAGTGATAAAATGAGAAGTTAATGCATGCCTTAGTTGTTCCTTTATCACATTAAGGAGCTTTATCATTACAGATCCTTTATCACATTAGAGAGTTCAGGACCCTTTCTCTTTCTCCAGTAGAGCAGGAAGGTGCATGTTTTCTCCTGCCATGGCAATTTGATGAATTGCCTGTGCCTGCTGAGGGCTGTGAGGTCTGTCTGGATTTAGCAGGGAGAGTGATATGGTCCTGAAACCAGTCTGTACCCAGGACTGTTGGGTCTGGAGGGCAGAGCTGTGGTAGGGACCTCAACATTTGCCAGTCCTGCCTTGGTGTTGCAATAAAATCCTCAAAATGAAAAGGAAAAGTCAGTTCTACTCTCCTTAAACGCCAAGAATTTTAAGGTATGTGATTTACAACTCCGTAAATGCTAGTGAATGAAAATCCAGCTAAAATACATAATGGGAAAAGAAATGCATGTGGTATGTTTTTTTCATCTAGAAAACATAGTCTATTTGAGTCTATACAGCACAGGCTACAACAGAATGGACCACTTGGGGGACCTGTAAGTAGCAGCATGTATTAAGAGTTTTAAGAGTGGGAATGCTGTGCTTTTTTTTTTTTTTAGTTGTAGATGGACACAATATCTGCTTATTTTTATGTGATGTTGGGGATCAAACCCAGTGCCTCACATGTGCAAGGCAAGCGCTCTACCATTGAGCTACCGCCCCAGCCCCATGCTGTGCTTTTTAAATATTCATTTGAAATTTATTATTTTCCTTTGTCTCATTGCCACATTAACTGCTTTTAGCTAAAATTTATAAGGTTTTAGTAAAGATTTTTGATAATTTAATAGTCTACAAATTAGCTGAAAGTTTGATTTAATGTTTGTTGGAAGTTTTTCTGCTGTGTGGTAACCGGAGAAGTTTCTCCCTTTGCTAATTATAATTAAGGTTAACTTTATTTCCCACTACATTTATTTGTACTTTCTATCCCAGATGTCTACAAGGACAAATGTAACTGGACGGGAGCCTAGCACCAGGATAGATGAGGCATTTATACAAAAGGGTTACCTCCCTGTGTTAGCAATCTTGGCAAACAAAAAATAGGTTAAACTTTATATGGGAGGTGTTGTTTGCAGTAGATGCGACTTCTTCATTCAGCAGATATTTACTGCTTTCCTCCTGTATATGAGGCTGTGTGTCATAGCTGTGGGTGGCTATTAGAAAACTCAATTTCCAAACCAATGCTTCAGCCTATGTCTCAGTGAAGGCCAAATTCAAACTGGCTCAAAAGTCAGTTCTCAGTCTGCATCCAGCAAAGGAATCAGTTCAGATGGGAGGAGCACATGATTAAGCCTTTTTTCAGGAAATTTGTTGAGATGTGGCTGAGAAAGCAATTGGTTTTGCTCCAGGAGCAAAAATGTCTCTGTCTGGTAGCTCAACTTTCTATCAGCTGCCATTCCAAGAGGGCAGCACTTGAGACCACAGTATTTGATCCAATCACTTACTTTACTCCAGGACAGTCAGATCTTACCCCTTCTTTGCCTCCTTGGGCATTGCTTCACTCACAAGCTCCTCCCCATGCCTTCCACGGGAACCTCTCTCCTCCCTGCATCCCTGCTGTGGTACCCTCTGCCCGCCACTTGCTTTGATTAGCAAGGCCCCCATATCCATAATTGCCCTGAAGCTTTCTACTCCTGGCCTTCTCTAAAGCCTCCTTGCTATGGAGGACACCATCCCTGCATGGGTTCTCTTGCCCCACATGCCCAAACCAGAGACTGGGTTGGTGTGCTCTTGTCCACTTTGAGTCCATGTGCAAACTGTCTGGCTTTATACCCTTTGCTGCTTCTCACTGCTGTCTTCTCCCACCCAATAGAAGCCATGATGCTTCTTTTATCTTCCAATGTGTTGCAAGAATCCTGCACATACACTATAAAGGCTCAACTCAAAGGTCTACCTCTGACGACCAGCCTATATTCTAGCTTTTATCCAATTTGGGGGAGATGGGGGGAATCCTCTTGAGTGTGTGTGTTTATTGTTAGCGGCTGCTAGGTTTAGCACAAATCTGACTTATGAAGAATATGTACCTTCACTTCCCTTTTCTAGGTTGAAGTCAAATTCAAAAGCAAGCTGGGTGTGATAGTACATGCTTGTAATCCCAGAGACTCTGGAGGCTGAGGCAGGAGGATGCCAGGTTTGAAGCCAGCTCTAAGCAACTTAGTGACTTATTTGAGACCCTGTCTTCAAATAAAATAAAAAGGGCTGGGGATGCTCCTCGGGTGGTAAAGTGCCTCTAGGTTCAATCCCCAATATCCAAAAAGAATTAAAAAAAAAAAAAAAGAAAAAGCAGTAAGCTTTAAGAAAACATTTTTATTTAAAAAAATTATGAGTATTGGAATGAATACACAGATAAGGCATTTAAAAAAATTCTTCTGTTTCAGACTGTTTACTGGCTCAGTTCTAGCTCTGTCCTGGTAAAGGCCTCCAGAAACCTCACCTATGAAATCTGGCCTCATGAGAAGGGATTCCGACCATACTGAAGAGAAGCCAGCTGCAGCCGAGCTCTGAAGCGCTCAGCTTCCAGTTCCCGGAAGAAAGCGTCATCGTCATTCTGCGTTATCATGTTCTGTAGTTGCTGAATTTCCTTCTCCATCTTAGATCTCAGCTCCCTCTTTACCTTATGTAATGTCTAAAAGAGAATTCATGTCATCCTTTTACTCCAAACATTTATCCAGCCCTTGTCTATTTTGAGTCTTTGCTCTACCTTCCAGTTCATCAAGCTCCTCCAATAAATTTATAATTTAGCAGCAGCTCTTACAGAGACCTGAATGAGTGAATTTAAACTCACAGGACAAATATCTTGGATGGTAAATGGATTATCTTATTAGTATTCTCTCCATTCCCTAAAAGGTACAATACTGTTTTCTAATTTCTAGAAAATTTCTATCCTGTTAATTATTACCTGAGCCTGGAATTTCTCTCGGGCTTTGAGTTCTTGACGTTCCTGTGATATGGCTTCTGCCAGCAATGAAAACTGTTTATAGGGAAGAAAAAGAAATATTAATGTTTTCAGTCCAAATGTAAAAATTCTTACACTAATGTTCACAGGCTTAAAATCTTTTCTTAGAAATGAAAAAAGCGATACAATATACTACAACCAAGCACTAGCTTATTTTATCTTAAATTTGTCTTGGAAATAAGAGTCATTGTAATCTATACAGTCCTGCAAAGTTCTGAGTTAACAAACAGAGGTTTATTGTCTGTATACTAAGCCAATTTTGACACAGGTGGTCAAGATCCAACACATTCTAATGAGCCCACCTGGTCCTTATAGTAGTTCTCCATCGAGTCCAGTTCATTCTGATGCTGTCTCTTTTCTTCGTCTCTTTTTTCTTTGGCATAGTTTCTCAGGTCTTGTAATCTTTGTTTCTGAATTTGTAAACCTTCCTCAAACAGCTTCTTAAATATCTGTCATTTAATGACAAAGATAAATTTAAGCTGAACTTCATGATCGTTTTGCCCAATACCAATAGTATTTTTTTTACAGATTATTAAAAACGGCAGGCTTTATTAGTATATTATTCATGTATCATAAACTAACCTTCTTAAAAATGTATACTTCGGTAGCTTTGAATAATTCAGAACTGTGCCATTGTTACCACTAATTTCAGAACATTTTTGCTCCAAAAAGAAAACCCATGTCTGTTGGCAGTCACTCCCTATATCCCCCTCCTTTTAGCTAGCACCATTAATCTACTTTCTATATATGGATTTGCCTGTTCTGGACACTTCTTTCACTTAGCATGTTTCCAAGTTTTATCTACATTACAGTATATATCAGTACTTCATTCCTTTTTATTGTTAAATATTCTACGTGAATTTATATTTTAATTTTATTTACATTTAATTATTATTTTGTTCATCCATACTAGTTGTTTCCCCCTTTTGACATTGGAAATAATGCTGCTATGAATATGTGTGTACATCCATACCTAAGGATAAAATTACTGGGTAACATTAACTCTTTATGGTCCTCTGGAGGAACTGCTAAGTTGTTTTCCCAAGCAGTACACCACTTTACAACCTCATTATCCCTGCTTGGGAGTTCCAGCTTCTCATCCTTAACTGACTTTTGTCTTTTGTATTCCCATTCTTGTGCATGTCAGTGATATATTGTAGTTTTGATGTGTATTTGATTAATAATGTTCAGCATTTTCTTACTTATCACAGAGATCCTTTACTGCTCGCTTCCAGAAACGAATTCTCAAGCAGCCATGTGTATAAGGCAGGAACTCCAGAGCAAAACATGCTGCACTTCTGTGCAACACTTACATGAGGTGGTTGGCATTTGGGGAGCCATGGAAAAGAAATCTGTTCAGCAGGTTTGATACGCTACTTATTCTTTTTTTTTTTTTTCTTTTGGTACTAGGATTGAACCACATTTCACCACTGAGCTATATCCCCAGCCCTTTTTATTTTTCATTTTGAGACAGGGTCTTGCTAAAGTTGGCTTTGAACTTGTGATCTTCCTGCCTCTGCCTCCTGAGTCACTGGAATTATAGGCATGTGCCACTTGGCTCGGATTTCAGATTTAAACGGAGGCAAGACTTATGACAAAGAAAGTAGTCCTAAAATGTAAGACATAATTTACCTTCTTAACAGGGCTGGGCAGAAAGAACACACTTACCATTTCTTCCCGGGTTCTCATTCTCATCATTTTTGCGCGCAACTGAACTCTATAATCATCATAATATTTTCGGGCACGAATAATTTGCTGACGATTTTCTTTTATTTTTGATTGGGTCAACCTCTGTCTATAAATGCAGTCCTTGAAGTCTTGCTAGGAAAGGAGAAGAGGATGTAAGGATAAGAGGAAGGCATATACAAGCATCACATCACCCCAAAATCCCTGTTCAAGTACAAGATCTTCCCCTTTCTGGTTTATAAGATGTCTTTGAGCAGAAAGGCAGCCATGCAGGGACAGTGGCCCTGCATCCTGCACAGAGTGTGAAAGACCATCAGTTCCTAGAAACCCTCATCCTTTGCAGCTTCATCACCTTGATCTGAAGAGCAGCACTGGCAAGTCCCGACAGTGCAGAGAGCAGCCAGGACCTGAGCACCTCCCAAATTTGAGGGTTTCATCTCCCCATTCTACTAGAGATCACTAAGTCACAGCCAATGCCTACTTAATAAGAACAAGAAAATGGCGCTCTGAACTTTTAAGCTTGAGTTGTCAAGAATATTTAATTAGGACAATATCAAAACAATGAGGATGAAATGAGGTCCTGTATCCAAAGCCTCCAACTCAAATATTCAGATATTGTTTTCACCCATTCAGTGGTAGAGTGCCCCTGGGTTCAATTCCCAGCACTGGGGGGGAAAATTGTGTTTAGCATTTCTATAGCATTTGCCCCTAATCAATTTTGGATAAAGCCCTCGTTGCTTCTGCAGGCAAGTGTTAGAAGAATCTGTACTGCTCAGCTATACAGATAGAAACTAAGTTATACTTATTTCCTTTTAAGTTCAAAATTAGAATGCCCAACTTGTTCTTGACATACCAGTCTCTTGTTATGTTCATATTCTTTCTTGACAAGGGAAGTGAGGATTTCATGCCTTCTCAGGGCTTCTTCTATCTTTAAGGGAAATAACAAGGCAAGTTAACAATGATGTTCAAGTACAAAATCTTCCCCTTTCTGGTTTATATTCCTACACTTCAAACTGTTGGTAACTTACTTCATCCTGGAGTTTCTTCTTTGATCGACTGTCCCTGTGTGCCTCTTTATTGAGCTGTTCAACATGTGCAATTTGTTGTTTCCACATTTTGCTTAGTGTTGGGCCAGAAACATAGAGAAATGGAAACTGCTCCAGCATAAGGGGCAAGAGACTGTGTTCATTTACTTTCACTGTAAGGACAAATAAGATGCTCTTAATTTGGGAAACTTGCCAATAAGAACTCTTACCCCATCTTCCTGGTATGCCAAATCTTATCTAATTGATGTGGTGATGATCCTGAAAAAAGCCATTCTAAATGTACTCATCACTTTTGCATTCCTTCTTTGATCCGAGTAAGCCAGCTACCTGTTAGGGATGAAGATAAGCTCAACATTCTTACTGATGATATGCTAGGCCTGAAAGTGCATACTAACTGCTCGGCTGCCTCAGCACCTGTAGGTGGATGCTTCCTATGTGTTAAAAGATTCGTCAGCCCTCCTGGTAGGCATGTGCTTAGAAGAAAAACTGTTTAATGGCATGTAGCTGGAAGGCCAGCCATCTTTGGGGAATAGTTGAAAACAGAGGCTGGACAGGCCATCTGTTTGCCTTCGAGCATCCCTTGCATTCTACCAACTTCCCAGAAACAAAAACAAAAAAAGGCAATCAGAGTGAGGCTCAAGCTGGAGCTGTAAGTGGTAGCCCCAGCTTTCTCTTGGTGCAAATATATAGGCTTCCCTAAGGCAATTCTTTGGAGTTTTTAGCTCTCTTTACAGAAAACCAGCCATATGGCAGTGATAAAGAAGGAACTTTCTGCTGCTAACTGGTGGATGTTAGTTTGCAAAGCTATCCTTGGAATGCAGTGCATACTTTCAAAGTTGGCCAGTTTTTCATAAAGTACAATTCTGTGGTTCTTACTTGGAGCTGCTTTATTTGGCCTGTGGAAGCCACCTCTTGAACTCTGAGTTGTGGATTTTCTGGAGTAAATCTTCCAGGGCTGACTATGTTTGGGAGTTCTTGTATGAATGACTTCTCTGTATATTTTTCCCTTCAAAGCAGATATGGAACAGAATGGAAGTAAGTAAAACTCTTTCATACATCATCTTAAACATTTTATACTGACAAAATAGCTAACCAATCCCTTGACAAATCACCTTTCTTCTAAATCTCTAAAAATCTAACTAATGTTCATTTATTCTAAGGTAAAGACATCTTTTGGCCATTGGTGTCCCTTGGAATTTTTCAAATTTTCAGTCACCTTGTCCCACACTCTAAATACACCTAGTATTAATGCTGTGATATGCTTGTTTCTTTCAGAACTTTTCCCACATAGATTAAAAAAATTCCCAAGCAACTATGCATTAGGTTTAGTTGTGACCACATTGTACTTCATAACCCATTTTGTTCAGTAACATTTAATAAAAGCATTTCCCCATGCTTTTATTTAGTTTCTATAGTCAAGCTTTTGAAAAGCATTAAACATGCTTTGGGTTTCTCATACTCAATATAGCAACTTGGCTTCTGTCTTCTCTTATTCCCCGTTAACTTGATCAGCTTATGCAATTTTTTAACCCCCTGGTGAACTGGAAAGTAGAAACTCATAAAAACTGATACAAGTTTTAGGCAGAAGGGAAAACACTAGCTTTCTCTGGTATCATGTCTTGCTGTATCTTAGCAACCTGACTATGAGTAAGGAAAAAAATCCTACATTATGAAATGAAATCCTGTCTTTTCCTAAATAGCTATTGATTAAGGCCCTGTTGGGTCTTTTTTTTTTTTTTCCTTAAAAAAAAAAAAAAAAAAACTCTGTACTTCCCACTGATCTGACCAAATGCATTTATTATAGTGGAGACTTTTACCCACTGTTTCCTCCTCCTCCTCCTCATTTATCCTTTGAGATCCAATATTGTCTTGAATTTTATTTCTTCTTAGCTCCCTTTCAAATGCTTCAGTTAATGCCTAAATGGGGAAAGGTTATATAATATTATAGTTGTTAAAAAACATACATGTGAGTGCTGGGGCTGTAGCTCAGTTGGTAGAGTGCTTGCCTCGCATGCACAAAGCCCTGAGTTCAATCCCCAGCACCACAAAAACAAACAAAACAAAACAAAACAAAAAAACTCACATATATATGTAGGGGAAAAATTCATCTAGGAACCTTTCAAGCCAAAAATATCAAGCTCATTCTCTTCCACCTTTTTATAAACAGTTCCTTTCAGGATCTATACACGTTGTTTTAAAAGATATGTAATTGGGACATAAAATGAAATTTTACATAATGCATTTTTTTTCTCACAGGTTTTATAATTATTTTGATACTCCCCTAAATGGAAGTTACATGATGAATTACATACTGATTATAACTACTGTAAGACATTTGAATTAATTTTAGTTTTCACTATTATAAATACTACAGCTGGGCACTGAGGCAAATGCCTGTATACCCAGCTACTCAGGAGGCTGAGGTAGAAGGAACCCAAGTTCAAGACCAGTCTAGGCAACTTATTGAGCCCCTCTCTCAAAACAAAAAATAAAAAGGGCTGGGAATGTGGTTCAGGGGTAGAGGGCTACTGGGTTCAGTCCCCAGTACCACAAAAAGAAAAGTTATTTAAGCTGGTTGTTGTGGTATATGCCTGTAATTCCAGCTACTCAGGAGGTTGAGACCAGGAGGACTGGGCAACTTAGTGAGACCCTGTCTCAAAATAAAATTAAAAAGGGCTCAGCAGTACAGCATTTCCCTCATTTATGTGAGGTCCTGGGTTTAATCACTAGTACTGCCAAAAAAAGAAAAGGGGGTGGGGAGATTATGAAACCTACTAAAGCAAACAACTAAGTGTCCTACATTTATGCAACATTTCAAAATCCCTTTACCACAGCAGAAAGTCCTCCTCAGCAATCATCATCATACCAGTCTCCTTGTTGGAGGCCAACCATCTCCTCCAATGGATACTCAATGGCCCATCATGTAATTCAAATGATCTATCGTGTGTAATCCACCTCAAATTCCCCTTATATCTTAAGTTCTCTCTGAAAATACCAACTCATACTGATCTCTTCCTTAATCCACTGGAACAATGAGCTAACATTCTTGAGAATTTCATGATTTATGCTCCTTAAGAGGGACATAGACCATATCACATAATTCTCTATCATCCACTCAACTCAAAACATATTAAGTGCATTTTAAACCTTTAATCAACAGCATGCTAATTTAATCCATGATAGCAAGGATAAATGGCATTGTCTCCTACCCAACAACAGTCAGGGAATGGAGAAGTACCTTTGCTTGGAAATGGCGGATATCTGTTTCTTTTGGCTTACGCTGCCGCCTTCTCTCTATCTGGAACTGTTTGTGTTTGTTAACTGGAGATGGAGAAAGCGAATGGGATCTGTAAGGTGGCTTTTTGTGCTTGGGAAATCCTGCAACACAGAAAGGCCATTTACCATTAGTTCCTGACAGCCAGAATGTTAAGCTGGAAACCAATTAGTTGGTTCTCACCAAATCCAAAGAGAAGGAGAAGTAAGTGTGCTAAATGTATTATAACTAATTCATATTTGTATACTTAGTCATACCAAGTAAACAGACAAATGAATACAAATGTGAACCGTCTCAAGCATTTACTTATATATTCAATTTTGGATTGAATTCAATATTGGATTCAATATGAATTTATATGCATAAAGTTCCTTGGTTGGCAATGGGGGGAGAATCTAGATAGAGAAAAGATAAATTATCTGGGCCATGTTCTGCATTCTAGATCCTAAGGAGGAGATGAAAATATATACACATAGCTTATAAATACTTACAAAGTAGAATACTTATAAGCAAAAGTTAACATGGTTAAGTACTGTCTAAGCAGTCCAGATTCTTCCCTAATGAATAAATAGTGACATATATGCTCATACCAATGGGATACATCTGCGAATCTGGTCATACCGCAGCTAAAATGAATTAGCTGGACCTTTAAGTATCAAAATAGATTTCCAAAACAATGTTAACACACAAAAAAAGCAGACTGAAGAATGATATATATAGTATCTATGTAAATTTTTTTAATTTTTGGTTTTTTGGGGGAGTGATGAGGATCAAACCCAGGGCCTCAGGCATGTTAGGCAAGAGCTCTACACTGAGCTGTATTTCCAGCCCTATGTAAAATTTTAAAAGAACATAAAACAATAGTATGTTTAGATAAGTAATATATAAACAGTCAAAAGTATGAAAATAGTCATAAACCCAGCCTAGTGGCACACCCCTGCAATCCCCAAGCTAAGGCAGGAGGAATGCAAGTTCAAGGCCAGCCTTGGCAACTTAGTGAGACCGTGTCTCAAAATAAAAAAGAAGGTTTGGCATGTAGCTCAATGATACAGTGTCCCTGGGTTCAATCCCTAGTACCCAAAAAAAAAAAAGTGCTATTATTTTTTTTATCCTTTTGCATATTTCTGAAATTTTTCAAATGAGAAAGTCATTAAAAACACACAGAACGACCTAAGTAGTTCACATGGACACCACCATTCTAGGTCCCTCTGGGTTTGTACCTGGCCTTAGCTTCTTTGGCTCATATTCCATGATGCTGTCACTATGTTGAGAAAGTGTCTCCTCATTTCCATTCTCCATCTCTTTGTTTATAATATCTTCTTCATAGACAGTCTTTTCTTTAATTCGATCACCCAGAGCACTTTTTAACATCTATTGAGAAAATTATTTTCAACATCTTTCATTGATTTCAACAGAATATAAATTAGTAGAAGTAGACAGCAGACTTTTAAAGTTTCCTCTGATAGTTACTAATAATAAGTTTTCAGATGCTTATGCATCTTTAGCTTTTAAAGGCTGGATATTGATGCTACCAGCTACTCAGTTTCAATAAGCTTAACAGTAAATCAAGTAGGGATTTAATTAATTCAATGTTGTCTCACTGCATTTTGTGGCAATCAGTGATCCATCCAATTTTACATCAGATCCATCTTTAATAACAAAGGGAAACTAAAGATAAATGGTTTAACATTAACTTGTTTATTAAATGATTTAGTTTTCATCAGAAGTCAATATAATTTGGACAAATCTGTGTCATACTTGGTTATATCAAGAAAGGTTAAGAGATCATTATTCATGTCTTACCTGTTTGACTTCTAGAACATTTTCACAGTAACTAAGACTCAACTTATTTTCCAATACCTAAGCTTAGTTTTCAACTTCAACTGGGAGACACTGAAATGCTCACTACCCATAGTAATTATACATTAAAAAACAAAACTTGCCCAATCTAGCTCACAGAACCGTTGAGAGAGTTTCTCTGACACTGCATGTAGTTCTTGTTCTGTTAACCTCTTTCTTGACCTCTGCGGGGAAGGTGAATCCCATGATGAGACTGCAGCTCTGTTTTCACTTCTGTAACGAAAGTGACCATGTGACATATAAGTAGCCACGTATACTTTATTTGGTTCAAAATAACCATGTATTATATACTTTAATACATATTTCATACTGGTTTCCACAGCTAAATTTGTAGAGTGTACCCTTCACTTTTCACACTTATAAACATGTAAGCCTGGAGTAGTATTACCTTTTTCCTTTGGGAATCTTCCTTGTTCTGGGGCTGGGGACCCGAGTTGGATAGGCTTCCTGTTCACTATCGTCAGGCAACTTGGAAGTTAAGATAACTCTATCATCTGGTTCCTATTAACACAGAACAAAGTTAATTTGAAAAAGCTACAAAGACGACAGGCAAAATCCTTTTGATGGTGGGATGCATTAAACCTGTGGCACCAAAGCTAGATTCTTCAATTTCCTTTATTTTTAAATGCATTTGTCAAAATACCATATTGATACTCAATGTTAAAGGACTGGAGCATGTCTATCATTTCTACTCAGAGAAAAAGTGTGGCTTAGAATGCCATTCTAATATAAAGCCAGGTGAGGCGTTCTCAAACATGAAATTTCAGGGATAATGCCTACAACTAGACAATTACAAATGATCAAATCACAAATTTTTATCTCTTCTATTGAAGAATCAATCAACTAAAACTGTCTAAAATTGAAACACTTTTAAACAAACCTGAAACTTCCCAAAATATAAATATAGACCCAACACTTTCAATAATATTTTCTTAACCTTAGAGAGAATCTTTTTTGCTTCTATGTTTGGTGCTACAGATTGAACCCAGGGCCCTTGAGCACACTAAGCATACATACTCTACCACTGAACCACACACCCATCTCCTAGAGGGAACCTTAGAAAATTTCTTGTGATAAACATTATTTAGTATTTAATGATATCCTCAATTTCACTTCAGAATCCTTTTCTTCTATTAAATTTAGTACAGTTTAGTAAATAGCAATAATTAATCAAATTTTAAAAACTTTTAAAATGAAATTTAAATGTCCAGCTTAGTGAATTATTTCAAAATGAATACTCCCAATTCACTGCCACCCAAGTGAAGAAACAGAATCACCAATAACAGCATTATATCATCTCAGCAAGACTTCCCCAAAGATAACCATTATCCTATGACCCCTTTCTTTCTCTCTCTCTTTAATGTATCCACCCTCCTATCTGAACAGACACAGAGAATATTTAAAATGATGGTTACCTAATGCTAATGATGTTTATTTCATCTTTGTACCTTTTCTGCACTGTTTGAACTTTTTAATAATGAGAATTGAATGTATCATTGCTTATAAATTTACCCTGGCACATATTTGCCTGTTCTTTCTAGGAAGATATGGGCAGAATATACATATATATATATTTTTTAAAGGGACCGGGTTTCTCCATCCCTTCCCTAAGAAAAAAATAAAAGCCAACAGGCCAAGATAATAACAGGGGTTCATGCTGACAATGGAAATATGGATGAATAGATCCCCCCCCACCTTTTAAAGCAGTAGTTGGGATTGAACCTAGGGTTGCTCTACCATTGAGAACGTTTCAGGCCTTTTTATTTTGAGATAGAGTCTCACTAAATCACACAGGCTGGCTTCAAACTTGCCAAGCTCAGCTTCCTGAAGAGCTGGGGTTATAGGCATGCACCACTGTGCCCAGTGGCAATTTGCTTTGTCACATTTTCCAATATTTCAAACATTTTTAAGCATTTAATTGGGGATATACAACATGTGTTCTGAAGTCAGAATGCTTGCGTTTAAATCCTGCCTCTAATAATTGTTGTGTAAACTCAGACAAGATATGGACCTCTCTACATCAGTTTCCATAGAAAATATAGTGATTTCTCCAGAAATGTTTGGAAGAATAAATTATCCAACACCTGTAAAGTACCCAAAACTGTGCCTGGGAAAAAGCATTCCATATATGTTGTTTCTTATTTCCCTTTTTATACACTTATTTTATCCCAACCTTCCTATAACAAGAACATGCAGGGGTATGTATAAGCAAATTTTAAGAAGTACAATGCTTTGGTCAGTGCAATATACTTGACTTATTCTAACAAGAGACCTCTAAATAGATAGGCTTCTGGTGTTGGAGATGGAGCTCAGTGGTAGAAGAGCACTTGCCTAGCAAAAGAAAGGCCCTTGGTTTGATACCCAGTACAATAAGTAAATGAATTTTTAAAAATATGGGCTTTCTAACCAAATGCAAGCAAATTTTTCCACTTACAGAAAATGCTGTGTGCTCTCCAGATGAATTCCCAGCAGGGGAGAAGTGACTTGCACGCAGGTATTCTTTTCCTATAGGGCAGGGTGCTCGAGGTTCTGAAGGGTGGTAGGGTGGATGTAAAGGAATAGCTGCTCGGATGGGCTCCCCTAGCTTTCTAGCGCTTGGAACCATACTCACAGAAGGGGTTTCCACTAGTAGGACAAATTAAAGTGGATCTACGATGAAATTCTAAGACATAAATCATTTTACATACACCTACACCTATATAAAATACATTCACATACACTAATCTTTTTAACTTGATTAAAAATAAAAAATACAAAACATAATTAAAGCAGTGATACATCCTTAGCCAACAAGTAGAAATCTAATTAAATCAGAATGAATGTAACCTTAATATTATATAGTATAAAAATGGACCCTGAAAGTTATTTAAAAATAATGAGCTGGGCAAAGTGATACACACATGTAATTCCAACGACTTGGGAGGTTGAGGCAAGAGGTTCACAAGTTTGAGGCCAGCCTCAGCAACTTAGTGAGACCCTGTCTCAAAATATAAAGGGTGGGGATATAGCTCAGTGGTAAAGTGCTCCTGGGTTCAATCCCCAAAGAAATAAAAATAATGAAAACTGGAAGCAACTAATGTTTAACGAATGGCTATGTAAACTTATGGTTCATTCACATGTTAGAAAACCAGCTGGCCATTAACAATGATTTTATGTAATACTACCATATAAAAATTCTGTAATAGGAATATTTTTCAAGTACTATATTTTGTTATTCAGTTATAAGTTGAAGACCATCAACTGTATGTATATATACATATACAAATGTATCAGACTGTATTATCCTTAAAAGAAAAACAAAAAAACCCCAAATATTTTGAGAGAAGATGACTTAGATAATAAAACAGTGGAAGAAAAAATATGTGGTGGGGCTGGGGTTGTAGCTCAGAGGTAGAGTGTGCTTGCCTCGCATGCCTGAGGCCCTGGGTTCAATCTTCAGCACCACATTAAAGAAATAAATAAAAATAAAGATACTAAAAATAAAAAAGCACCTTTGCCTTAAAAAAAAAAAAGAAAAAATGTGTGGCCAAAGACCATATTAAGCAGAAATTAGAGCTCAGAATTAAGAAAAAACAATTACAAATAAGATCATGTAAAACCAAAAAGATTCTTATATAGTGCAACTAAGTAAAAAGACCATTAGCAAATGTCCTGGGCAATGACTGTGTCAACCCAGGAATAGACTAAAGAACGAACAACACATTACGACTCACTATCTTCAACAAAGGATGTCCTATCCTTAAACAGAAAACTAGACGAGGGAGGGTTTAACATATCTTCATGTAGTTTTGCAATTGGTGAGGGTGACATTTTTTTAGACTGCTTGTGGACAGGACTTTGAGCACCTAGGAAAGAAAAATAAAGGTAAATTTTTTATCTATCAAAATGTTTGCTAAAAATTATACTAAATGCCAAGAGGAATGTTGAAAGATACCGATTATTTTTAATAACTAACATATTAAAAGGCAGTTCTATAGTCCAGAATCACTTTTACGACTTGAAAACAAGGTTTTACTCAATGTTTCATTACTCTGCTTCAGAAAAATAGGTGCTAGAGTTGTAGAAATGCTGATTGTTATATGGGCATTTCTAGATATAAAGATGTTAAATGAATTAGGGTTTGTGGCTAGTACCATAATCAAAGAGTTACAGTTCAGAAATTAAAATCTAAATTAGATGCCTGTGAATGTGACAGTTGTCTGACATCTTAATTTAATGATAAAAGGAAGCTGCCATAAGCCCTTTCATCAAATCAATCCCAAATACCTTTGCTAGCTTCCTTCTCGACCTTTTCTCCTTTGCCTTAAAAACGTTAAATCAAATTCCACTCTCTACAATTTGAAAACAAGTATAGATTGAGTATCCTTTATCCAAAATGCTTGGCATCAGAAGTGTTTTGGATTTCGGAATATTTGCACATACAGAATAAGATCTTAGGGATGGGCCCCAACTCATTTATGTTTCATGTACACAGCCCAAGGTAATTTTATACACTATTTCTAGTGTTTCCTGAATTTTGACTATGATCTGTTATATGAGGTCATGTGTAGAATTTTCCACTGGTGATATCAAGTCAGTGGCTCACAGAGTTTAAGATTTTGCAGTCTTTCAGAGTTCTGGATTAAAGATGCTTGAATAGTAAATCATCTTTTACTGTTGTACTTAGTTTACACGGCACTTAATATCAGAGGACCCATTTCTAAAATCACCATCCCCTCCACTGTGAATCTATCTGACTTCCTTCAAGTAACGTTCTTGAAATAACTATACTTTACACTTTGCCTGTGATTTCAGACAACTATTCATATTTAGTGCATAATGGTGCTAAAAGTCCTTTACTTTGCCTCTCTCAATGACAAACTCATGTCTTTGGTCTACTGTGATGTTCAGACTTGGGTTTTTGAACATAATTTCTTAGGAGTGCAGCATCCATTCCTTGGAATTAAGAGTATTAGTGCTATAGGGACTTTAATGTTGGTTTAGTCCAATTCTCTTATTTCAAATTTGAAGAAATGGGGCTCAGAAAAGATAAGAACCTTGTCCAAAGTCACACAGCCAGTAGCAGAGTCTGGATGAGAAAGCAGACCACCTGATTCCCAATTCAAAGTACTAATTATGGGGTAGCATTCTTGTCTTTCTATTCAAAAAATACTTATTTGGGATGGGTGTTTTCCTAAGTTTTGAAAAATTATGATGAACAAGAATAATCTTACTGTATATTTTTATGTATCAGCAGTTTTCACAGGTAGAATGTAAGTTCCATGAAGGCAGGGATTTGTGCCTGTTTTGTTCCCAACTCTCTCACCACTGCGTGGTATAGGAAAAGCACCAAATAAGTATTTGCTGAATGACTATGATGTGGCCACTTTCCCAGGAATTCACAGTTTACACAACAAGCTATAAGTTACCAAGCAATGTGGGAATGGTGTTATAGAAAGGAAGAGAGAACGCAGAGTTGACAGCCTGAGGCAGGTAGGGGAGGCTGGGCTATGGAGAGTGAGTTTGTCAGGAATAGGAAGAAAGAGCACCCCAGTGGATGAACAATATATGTCAAAGATGAACATGGCATGCAAGGTGGGTAGGATTGTCACAGGGCCTGAAACTGGGAATGAGAGATATTACACACAGTTCTACTGTGTGTAAGCAGATTACTGGAAATATGGCCTAAAGCCTGGGAGGAAATTTGCTATTGGGAGTATGAACTTATTAGTTGAAATGATGAAAACTGTCCAATTTGGGAAACTATAATTGAAAGGTACTCCAGAATTTTGACAAGACTGTAAAGATACATCCACAATTCTCTTCTCGGGATATCAGGTCCCACAAAGTACATGACAACCTTGCACCCATAGATTTGCCTTGATCTTATGTGCCTCTGTGCTTTTACTTGCCTATGATTTCAGACTACTATTCATATTTAGTGCATAATGGTGCTATTCTGGAATTTCAATGCTGAGGTTCAATTAGGACTCTATTCTTCTAATATTAAAGAGCATACTCTTCGTATTGTTATAACAACATACTGAATAATAACTGATATTAACTACTCACCATTACTTCTTAGAGAAAAGGTGTGTGCTGTGTCTCCGAGTCTAATTATTTCACCAGTGGATTCTGCTTCATCTTCATCCCAAGAGGGTCCCAAAGCCTCAGGTGAGGAGGAGCTCCTAGAAAGAAATTCTCACTCATTCAGGGCCCAGCCTGACCATAGAGGACCCTTCCTGCTTCCAACATCCAGCCTGCAGGTATTCAGATTGCTCATTTGCTAGGTGCAAAAAAATTGAAAAAAACCAGAGCCGGGGAAGTAACTCAGCAGTAAGGTACTTGCTGCATGCCTGCAGCCTGAGATGTACAAAACAAATGATAGTGCATGATCTTCCTCTTAATGCTTATCAATCCTTGCTGCTAGTTTTGTATTGATAGATATATAATGAAAAAAAACTGTGTATAAAGTGTCAAGGATGAAATGGACAGAATACATACAGAGAACAGCTAACACTGGTGAATCTAAGGGTGCAGGAATGGAGGGGAGTCTGGTAGGGCATTAATTTTGCACTAAATATCTTTGAATTGTCTCACTTTTGCAATTGTTTTATTTTAAAAAATATAATGATAAATAAAGTCAAGAATTTCACCTTATGATGGGTCTCCTTTGAGACATTTTTCACAATGTACTTTACCTAAAAAAAAGGTATTTGCCAGCCAGGTGTGGTGGTACATGCCTAAGATCCCAGTGTCTGGGGAGGTTGAGGCAGGAGAATCGTGAGTTCAAAACCAACCTCAGCAAAAGCAAGATACTAAGCAGCTCAGTGAGATCCTGTCTCTAATTAAAATACAAAACAGGGCTGCGAATGTGGCTCAGTGGTTCAGTGCCCCTAAGTTCAATCCCTGGTACCCCTCCAAAAAAAGGTATTGCCTGTGTTTTTCAAACCATGACATACTCCATAAAAAAATCAAAATTTAGATATTTAAAAGAAAATCACAGGGGCTGAGGCTGTGGTTCAGCGGTAGAACGCTTGCCTAACATGTGCAAGGCCCTGGGTTCAATCCTCAGCACCACAAAAACAAATAAATAAAGGGGAAAAAAAAATAAAAGAAAATCACAATATTATGTTCAAGTTTTAGTTAGCAAGGAGTACAATCAAATCTGTAACAACAATATATTTTGTCTATGAAAGTAGCATAAATTTTAAAACTGATATTGGTCAATGAAAATGGCTCATGAAGTACCTGCTCTTTCATGCTTCTGGTGGATGTAACTTAGTCATGGCCTCCTTGAAAAACTTGGCAACTTTTATTAATAGCCTTAAAACATTCATACTCTTTTACCCTGAATTTAGCCTAAAGACATGAGAGAAAGGGAGAATAAAAAAAGGCTCCCCTCCCAGGGTCACTCTACCCCTAAACTCTGTCACCAGCCCTTTTTATTTTGAGATAGGGTCTTGCGAAGTTGCTCAGGCTGGCCTCAAATTTACAATCTTCTTGCCTGGCTTGCTTTTTAAGAATTTTGTCGTCACCGTCATCGTCGTCGTCGTCGTCATCATCATCATCCTCACCATCACAAACCTCCACATTATAAGATCAGGGTAGTAAATTATGTTATAACTACATGAATGATGATACATAGTCATTATAATCCCAGGTATTCAAGAGCCTGAAGCAGGAAGATAACAAATTCAGGGCTATCCTAGGCAACTTAGCAAGAACCTATCCCAAAATAAGAAAAAGCAAAAGCTAGTGATGTAGCTCAGTGGTAAAACACTTGCTCAGCATGCATGAAGCCCTGGGCTCAAGGGTTCGTGCTAAATAAATAAAGTAAAATAAAATTAAAACTTACTGCAGGGCAGAGGGTGTATGTAGCTTAGTAATGGTATGCTGGTCTAGCATGCACTATTGTCCTGGGTTCAATACTAAAAACTAGAAAAAAAAATATTATAGATAGTTTGACAACTTGGGAAAAGATTGGATGTGTTAAATAAAGATAATGCCTGCAGACAGTATGACTTCATCCAAAAAAAAAGTATAAAGGACTAAAATATAACAAAATGTTAACAGCAATATTTAGTTTTACATGACAAATTTCATCTTTTTTCTTGCTGTTAAAGAATTTCTCTGGGGCTGGGGTTGTGGCTCAGTGGTGGAGCACTTGCCTAGCACGTGCAAGGCCCTGGGTTTGATCCTCAGCACCACATAAAAATAAATAAAGATATTGTGTTCAGCTACAACTAAACACACACACACACACACACACACACATATATAAAAGAATTTCTCTGTACTTTGCAAGTTTACTCAAAGGAGGATGGAACAAGGAAAAAATGATGATCCTTTCATGATCAAGGGACAAATGAAAAATGAGTAGGTAATTAAGATGGAGAATTAGTATTACATGTAGCTCATGTTCATAAAACTCCCTCAAAAAGGTATAAAATAGAAGAAGTTAGTAAAAATGTTCACATTAGCTTTTTTGGGTACCATTCTGGTATACTGTGTGCAATTTTAATTCTTAGTAGATGAGAAAGCACAATTTGTTTTGATAAAATTCACAGACATTGTGGGCTACCTCCCAAAAGAAACTCTTTTCCATGATGATTTGGACTCCTTAGTGCTTTCTAGCTCTTCCAAAGGTTCTCCTTCATGGGATTCTTTAAAATACTGTTCAGTTTCACCTGTTTAAAACAGATTAAAAACAACAATACCAAAAAAAAACCCAAGTTAATACCATTTTTTTTTCTATAAAAGAGGCCAGAAGAGGTAAGTGAGACAACCCCCAACCTATAATGGTAATCTAGGCTCCCAGGACAGTGAAATTAGAAAGAATCAAATCATTACCTGCAATGAGTTACTCAAGTAACAAAGAAACAAGAAGCTCGCTCGTTGCTTTCAAATCAAGGCCTACCGTGTATATTATGATATTTTCTTTTTTAAACAATGTGATAGGTTCACTTATCATTCTTTATACTTCTCCATCTGTAAGGGATGTCTGAGGTAATCAATTAAGATGGCAGGAATAATATGATTCTATTAACCTTTTTCAAGTTCCAAGACAACCATGCCTCATGCGAGAGTCAGAACATATCATGGTTTAGATGAAATTTTTCTTAAGACCACTGACCTTTTTCTCCAACCTAAAATACCCAAGGAATACACGCTTTCACCAGCAGCACTAATTCACTAGGGCTATGATTTTAGGCGTTATGAGGATAAAATCTGATTCAGATTTACCTCTCTGGATATTCCAATGCGTAATTCTAGACATTTCCTGTTCAAACATCCACCTCATTATTTTCTATTTCTGTATTCACCAAGCAACATTTTAATATCATTTGTCAACACTGATGGTGCATATAGTCTGAGCTAGGCTCTGTGCTAAACGTATCTCCTTACTTAATCTTTACAACAAGCTTCATATGAAAAAACAAGTCTAGAGAGTTTCTCAGACAGTGAGGGTTTGCCTTCAAATCCCTCATTCTTCAATGGTAAATGATAATGCTAGCTCAGGTTTCAGAGAGAAGCTGCCCTGCACTGCTGGCATGACTAATGCTAACAAAGACTTCCTTTCCATTTTGTCAACTGGCATTTAAAAAAAATTTTTTTTTTAGTTGTAGATGGACATAATAGCCTATTTTTTTATTTTTTTATATGGTGCTGAGGATCAAACCCAGAGCCTCCTGCTTGCAAGGAAAGTGCTCTACCACTGAGACAACCCCAGCCCTGTCAATTGTCATTTTGAAGAATCTGATCAGCTCCAGATAATAATGCCAATTAAGTATATTTTGGACCTGCATAAGTGAGACTCAAACCTTAGATAACACTGTTCAACTGTCATCCAGGGAGGCCCAACTCAGCAACTCCCACCTATCACAGCTCAGCTCACCACATACTACCAACCTTTCTGGGAGGTAGTATCCTTCAGCCTTTCATTACCACTAGACTCACATGAGAGCACTGTCTTCATCCCTCCATCCCCACTGCTCTATCATCGATGAGGCACTATCTTCCCACTGTTGCTGACTTTATAACAGTTCAAATTAATCTTATTTACTTACAGATAGTTTTCTGTCTCTTAATTTTGCTGCTAAAAAGACAAAATGATACAGAGCATCGAAATACCTATTGGTAACCTTGCATTAGGTGAGTTCCACAGGTTAATCACTTTCAATACTCGCCCCCAACTTCCTTCTTTCATGTCTATTGTATGTATTTAAGGCTGTCTCCCTGACTTAAGTACAAGTTTTTGGTTTTTTTTAAGTCTTTGTTTTTGTTTTGAGAAAAATCAATGACATGCAGCTTTGAATCCTTCCAAAGTACCCAGATTAGCATTTAACACATAACTACACCCAAAAGTTTAGAATTTTAAGAAAAAGAAATTTCCAATGTATACCTTTCAATCTTCCCTTCTGGCTTTTAAATCATTTTAGCAGAAATTGATTAAAGATAGGGAAGTATCTCTAACTAAAAACTTTAAGATTCATTTCAAGTATTAGAATCACAGCACAGGTCTATCCATGATGGCAGAAATTAGAAAAGGTGAGGCAACCCAAATTTTTTATTGTAACTTATATTAGAATTTGTTATTTACTGTGCTGATAATTTTTTGGATAAATTTGTAATATAAGAACGGATAATATATTATTCCATTCATGATCAACAGTATTATTTATTAAAGATGATACAGTCCTTAAGTACTACTGATTAAGTTTAAATAACCATAACACTTTTAGATAAAAATAAGGCAATATTGATATTCATAAAACAAAAACATCACACAATAAATTTTTATAATTTGGGGAACTGGGTTAAAGAGTAAAATAAAAAATATTCAGCCGGGTATGGTGGTGCATGCCTATAATCCCAGCAGCTCAGGAGGTTGAGGAAGGAGGGTCACATGCTCAAAGCCAGACTCAGAGGGGAAAAAAAAAAAAAAAAGAGCTGAGGATGTGTAGTGGTCCTGGGTTCTATCCTTGGTACCAAAAAGAAAAAAAAAGTATATTCAGGCTGGTAGTCAGGTGCAGTGATGCATGACTGTAATCCCAGCTACTCAGGAGGCTGAGGCAGGAGGATCACAAATTAGAAGCCAGCCTGGCAACTTAGCAAGAATCTGTCTCAAAAAAAGCAAAGAAAAAAGGAAGGAGAAGAAAAAAAAAGCTGGCCATCATGAAATAACAGTGTTGGTAGAAATGCCCTAGTTCTTCCTGCTAATGTCTTAGTAATATCCAAATTTGTAATATAAAATGGTGATTCTGACGTAGGAAATTTTGGAATAAGAAATTTTATGCACTAATAGAACAATAAATAATTCAGGCAGAAATTTAGGTTCCCATTTTAGATTAGCTTTAAAGTTATTTATAAGTAACAATCCAAATTAACAAAGGATTTGATGATACAGTTTCCAATCACCTGAAACAGAAACAATTAGAAATATACAATTAAATTTATCAAGCATATTGTATTGGTGATTCTGCTTCCTAAGAAAAATAACCAAAGAGATAAAAGGCAAAAGGGTATGTAATCCTTCTTGGGATTTCTTTTGCTGGGGTTCAAACCCAAGGCCTCATCCACACTAAGTATGCACTCTACCACCGAGCTCTGACCCCAGCCTCTTCATTCTTCTTTTTTTTTTTTTAATATTTTTTTTTTAGTTTACATGGATACAGTATTTTTATTTATTTATTTTTATGTGGTGCTGAGGATGAATCCAGTGCCCTACACATTCAAGGAAAGCACTCTACCACTGAGCTATAGCCTCAGCCCAGCCCCTCTATTCTTAAACTTACTTTTCTCATGAGATGTTTCACTGATGTGTTCTGTAAGATACTCCAGCAATCCATCAAATATTTCTAGGAGATTCCTGATAGATTCTTTGTCTCCTTTCACAATATTTTCTCCTGAACACAGAACATAAAGCTATTAAAAATGTTAATAAAACAATTGAGAGCCTCATAATTGGTTTTAGGTTTTTATTTTGGTACTAGGAATTGAGCCCAAGGGCACTTTACACTGAGCTACATCCCCAGCCCTTTGTAGATGGACATGATACTTTATTTTTATTTGGTGCTGAGGATCAAACCCAGTGCTTCACACATGCAAGGCAAGCGCTATACCATTAAGCTACAATCCCAGCCTCTCCCTTCTGATTTTTTTAGGTTCTTGCTAAATTATCCAGGCTGTCCTCAATCTTGCTATCCTTCTGCCTCAGCCTCCCAGCACTGGGATGGAGAACCATACCTGCCTTGAAAGTCTCATAATCTTGAAATGGATATAACATTGTGAAAGAATATATGGATTATAAACTCAGAAGAAATAAAATTATAAATATTAAAAACATTGATTTTGTACTATTTAATTATATCCAAAAAATAAATAAATAAAAACAATAGGCTTGGATATAATGTTTAATAATTCAATGGCATATTTCTTCTTTTTTTTCAAGAAGCAAAATAACTGGATTTAAGAAAACATTTTCTGCCAGGTACAGTGATGCATGCTTGTAATCCCAGCCATCCAAGAGGCTGAGGCAGGAGGATCACAAGTCCAAAGCCATCCTCAGCAACTTAGCAAGGTCCTAAGCAACTCAACAAGATCCTGTCTCTAAATAAAATATATAAAAAGGGGTTGGGGATGTGGCTCAGTGGTTAATTGCCCCTGGGTTCAATCCCTGGTACCCCCCCCCCCAAAAAAAAAACCAAACTTCTAATAAGAGTCATACCATAACATAAAGCAGCAAAGCAGAACTTTATTAGGCTGGTGGGAAAAAAATGACAGAATAAAATACTTTCAGATTGTGGGATCCTATTTATTTGGGTTGGTTTGTTCTAAAGGTAATTGCAGTAGAATAATACCAAAACAAATAAACAAAAAATCAATACTTTTTCATTAGGAATTCATGGTTGTTTTCCCCTGTTTACTTCTATTCATATTGTACAGATCAAACCATATTTCTGATTAAAACTGCATCCATGAGGTTTGATCCCCAGCACTGCAAAAAAAGAAAAAACACCCAAAATCTCATCCAGGCTCCCTTTCTAAATCTAAATCTAAAAATCCTCTCCCCTTTTTTGGGGTACTGAGGCTTTAAACCGGGAGTGCTTTACCACTGTGCTACATTCCCAGTACTTTTATTTTTTATTTATTTATTTTTGTGGTGCTGGGGATTGAACCCAGTGCATTGTGTTTGAAAGGCAGGCACTCTATCTACTGAGTTATATCCCCAGCCCCTAGTACTTTTTTTTTTTTTTTTTAATTTTTGAAACAGGGTCTTGCTAATTTGCTGAAGCTGGCCTCAAACTTTAGATTCCCCCTTCCTCTTGACTCAGACTCCTGAGTTACAATCACCATGCTTGGCTAAATCCCTTTTTAATCTCGCCTCATCCTCAACTCTTTAGTCTCATCTCCTACCACATTCATATAATATCCAGAAGTCAATCTTGAAACAATTCCTAGCACAGTACTTGGCCCCTAATAGATTATTAACAAATGCTAAGTTGAAATATTGAATAAAAATGGATTGGCAAAGCGTGGATACTTGACATGTTTAATGTCACTTAAAATGGACTCCAGTCAACATCAGGTATGGATGGAATTTGGCCGTTGTGATGCTCTGGTGATCCCTTTGGGATATCATGCCTAGCATTCTCAAGAATTCAAACCAGAATGGGAGAGGCAGAGTAGAAGTTTGACATGTGAGAAAAGCTGGCCACTCTTAACTTATGATACAAAACAAAACTATACCAGAGTTGGAATACTTTATTCTGTTTGAAATAATGAGTGTGAAATCCTGTTTTTAAGCCCTGTGTTTTTCTGGCTTAAAATACATATGCATACCCATGGGCATACTCAAGACTTCTCAGTTTCCAGGATAGGGAGCATACTCTGCCAACCCAGCAATTAAGACTGTTGGCCAGAATGCATTGCTTTGTGGTGGAAGAGAAACTACTTTGCACACAACACAAGGAGTCAAAAGCTGCTCTGCAATCTACTGGAGGAGGTAAGCAGTTTGCAATAACTCATGGGTGAGTGCAGTTTGTGAGAGGCAACTTCACAATAAAAAGTTCTATAAACATATGTATGTTTACAATCTTGCTATAGTACATTTCAAAAGTACAAATATCAGAAAATGTCCAACATATTCAGGTGATTTAGTAATTTCAAACTGCAAAGGAACAGGGAAATTCTGGGATCATTTCTTAAAATAATTTATCTCCAAATTGATTTATCCCATTTACTCCCCTAGAATTGAACTTAAATACTAATGACTGTATCTCTGCAAAAATTTGTTCTTGTCAATATTAAGTTGAGAAATGTCAATTACCTACCCTTATTACCATTTATCTTCTTTAACCAATGTTAAAAAGTACATCAATAGTATACGCCTTCTTTTTGGACTGAAATATAGCTTCAAGTCTCTAAGATTCTTTCTGTTCCTTAGCTTGAAATAATTTACTGGAATAATTCTTATTCACTACTTTTAACAAACATAAGGATTTATAAATATATTTGGTATGCTTATTTTTGGAACACAGCAAAGTATCCTTCATTTTATTTTAGAAAAAGTCTTTAAAAAGCAGCTTATATTTTTAAAAGCTTTTGAATATATAATATGATTCGAAATTCAAAAAATATGAGATATATTGTGAAAATCTGGGTTCCCTTTCTTGTAACCCTGAAGTTCCCCTTGTTGGAAGCAATCATTATTAAAGTTTTTTAAATCTTTTTTTCAAGAGTCTTTCTGACTGCAATCAACAGGATATATCTGCATATATATTTTCCCCACCCGTTTTAACAAACTGTAGCATACTCTATACAATATAACTACACTGTGTTTTTCTCACAACATACACTGGAGATTGCTTCTCTAAAATGGAATACTTTGTGTGCAAAGAGCATTATCAATCATCTTTTAAACCTATTGCGCAGTTCACTTTCCAGAGCTATTATTATTTATCTAAACAGTCCCTATTAATTGGCATTTAAGTGTTTCTAACTTTTAGCTACTAAAAACATGCAGCATGGGTATGCTTTAATATAACAAAACAAAAAATATACATGAAATACATTTCAAATCCAGATCCATCACAAACTCAGTGTTCAATTCTCCTGAAAAGATTTAATGTATGATTGCCCTAAGTATATCAGTTGTCTTGGTTCAGTCTTAGTTTGTCGGTTCTATAAGGTCCCTCATTTGGTTAATTAAACAATATCTAAGGTTCTACCTAATGTTATTTTACTAAGATGCATAATTATCTAATTAAATATACTAACCTGTTATGTGAGACAAGCTAACTTGCAGATAATCCAAGGCCAATGAATCAATCACTGCTTGTACATTGTGGGCATCATCCTCTTGACTCTTGGGAATAGCTATGAGGTCTGTGGAGCAAAAGTCACATTATTTTGCATCTATGAGGATCCAAGTTTTTATCTATTTGTCTTTGACTAGGCTTTTGAGTAAACCCAAATGCAACAAAACTAAGCTGTACATTAGCTGGACAGATGGTAGTACAGATAAAATCATAAAGCCTGAATTCTACAAAGTAGTATCTTTTTAGTTGAATATTTATTTTTCAATATTATTTAATTGTTTGATACTATACCCAACATATAAACATGTTCTACATAAGTACCATGTAAAAGAATATGCAGATGAACAGGGAAACTCTGGGATCATTTCTTAAAATGAAGTATCTCCAAATTCAAAGGGATGTGAATAGTTGATAAGGAAGGCAAACATAAGCAGAGACTTGACAAAGAAATGAAAGCAGTAAAGGAATCTATGGATAAGAATTCTGAGCTATTTAACCAAGGTCACAGCAAAATGTGCAAATCACAACTTAAAATATAAATTTACTATCTTCTTAGCGAATTAGGGTCAAAATAAATATCAATTCTTATTTGTAATACTGGTTAAGTAGCAGAATCCAACAAATTTCCAAGTTCTGCTCAATTTTTAAAACTTTGAAGATTTATTTACAGAATCAGTGTGACTTTTACAAGGCATTAATATGATTAGTTTAAATGGGGCTGGCCTTCGAACTGATTTGATCAAGGCTATTATTATGAGAGGGTCCCCTAAAATATTCATTAGCATAAAAATACTACATTTGGATAGAAATAAGATGCAGAGAAAATAAAATTTTATAAATATCAAGGGATTTAACTAAAAGAACTAGAAACTTCTGGCCCCAAATACAGACACAATTAGTACCATTTTTTCAGTGAACTTACCGGGTACTTTTTCTCCCAAAATGGATTGATAAAGAGCAATAAAAACATTAGAATCACAATCTTCAAGTGTGTGTATCCTCAGATGTATGTGACATTTAAAAAGAAGGTTATTGGCAATGGTTACCCACTCTGTTGGGGAAAAAGGAGAAAATAAGTCTTTACTAGCACTAGGAAAAGTCAAGCACAAAATATCAACAATCTCCACAAAACAGATATTAAACTCTACAAAATAAGAAATTTGTTAAAAAATTTCAAAGACCCTCCTAGTTAAGATTTTTGAAAAGATGTATTGGGATGATTTCCAGAGTTTATAATTTCAATTTTTATTGTTGCAACCCCAAATCTTCACTTATTTACTATTAGTTTTTATCTTATAAAAGCCTTAAATAGGTGTTTTTACTTAAAAGGTATAAGTAAACGGATTATCATGTTATTTTAAAAAGTTTGCAAATGACAATCTCAAGTTACTAGAAACTAATTGATGGAGGATGTTTAAAATTCCCAATAGTATTAGTTATGTTTTTACCCAATTATCTTGTGCAAGTCAAGGTCTCTCCGGTGCCCAAAAGGGTGGTGATTAATTTAGGCTGTTAAGAACTGGAATAATGATAATACTAATGCATCTGTTAGGTTTTATTACATTTGATATACATTAAAGAAAATACATGAAATACATTTTTAAAAAATCCCTAAACTCAGAACTAGCATCTTAAAAATACTGTTGAAGTTCTTTGTGGGCTATACCACATCCAGCCCTCCCCCAGTGTTGGGATTATCAAGGTTAAAGATTTCTCGACTAAAGATAATGTAGAAAGCTTGAAACATTTGTTCACTGAAATTATTGGTGATTAAAGGGAAAGTACTTTAGCATTAGATGCATCTCCGGTAAGTAATGGACGCACGTTTTGGAAGCAAATAAGTCTGTGTATCTTCCATCCACCAATTTCCCTCCTCATGCCCATTTCTCACAGCTGACCAAACCATGACAACCATTTGGTACTGGAGAAAAGGACGAAGCGTCCTAGACAACCAAATCAATTCGCTTTTCAAAAGCGATGCCAAACAAACCCTTAACTCCAGAGGGCACCAAAACAACAACAAAAAATCCCGCTATTTTGCTTTGGCAAAGGCATCGACATATCTTAAAAAATATCACGTCTTTCAAGACCAATATAAATGTAGGTTCGGCCTCAGCGCCCACAATGCAAGAGCGGAGAACACACTGACAGTGGCTGGACATTCCAGAGAAATACAAGTCCGAGAAGATCTTTCTGACTGCTGTATAGCAGCCAGGATGCGGATGTCCTACCAGCCTCACCACAAGACCCCTCTTTCACAGCCCACGTCGCTGTCCGACTGCCTTGAAGCACAGAAGTAGTAAGGCTGAGACCCTTATCCGGAGAACCCGCGACTGCGACCTTGTGCCATACGGTCACGAGCTTCAGGGGCAGCCCAGACCCAGTATTGGACCGCCAGAAAGTTGGACAGCTTAAGTCCACACACCAGGGATCCAGGCCGAGACTCACCAGCCTCTGAGCCAGACATGTCGCGGAGACGGGTCGCCGCCGGACTCCAAGGCGGGCTCGCGGGTGACGGCGTCCCGTTAGGGCCACACTGCGCAGACCCGGAGCGAACAGAAGAGGGAACGGACCACATTGCGGGGAAGGAGGGGTGAAGAAGGGAGGGACGTTAAAACGGCTCCTCGCCGCTGATTGGTCATTACAGGAACACTTCCTTTCGCAGCACGCGACTAGGCAGCAGTTTGCGGGCTCTAAGAAACCATTCCCCGCGGGCAAGATCCCGCGAAAGTGTTCTCAGGGAGCCGGGGTGGGCAGGCCAGGTCATCCAGCAGCCCTGGCCCGTCTCCCGGGGGCAATAGAACTGCACTTCCGGTGAGCTCAGTTAGTTTGTGTTCCTCCGCCAACCGAGGAAGTAGTGCGGTCCGCTCACCCCATGGGGCAGTCACGTGACAATATCAGGCTCCGCCTTCTCACCTCAATTTGGTTATGGGCGTGGGGGCTCTTGCGGAGACGTAAACATCACCAAGTGGGGCGAGTGGGTTGGATTGTGCTGGCCTTTTTATAGCCTGGCTAGGCTTAAAAAAGGGCAGACTAGCTCGCTTGAGGTGTGGAAAGGCAAGAAAAAGGTGAAGTTAAGAGACTGCAAGATGAGGCAACCCAATGATAGATGGGCTCAGACGTGAAAGGGGCGAAAACCGGGCAACTGTGAGGGAGCGACCGCGGGGGGAGGGGTGAGAACATGGCGGATTCCGGAACGCCGGCGGGCGTTGCGGCCTTTGCGCGGGGGGCGGGGTGATTAGGTCATAGAGCGGCTCCCAGCATTCTTTGCGGTGGAGGAGGCGGTCCAGACTATAAAACCGGCTGCCGGGATTCGGCCGGCACCTCATTCATTTCCACCGGTCTCTGGTCTTTTAGCTCCAGTTGTTGTCATCGCGGTTCCTCCGCCGCTGCCGCCCCCTCAAGGCTTCGTCGTAGCCGAAGCCACTAACAGCGACTCGTCGCTCCCGATTCTCTTCATTTCGTTCCCCGCCAACCGCAACCATTGACGCCATGTCAGGTTATTCGAGTGACCGAGACCGCGGCCGGGATCGAGGGTGAGTGTGGGAACTAACCTGTCAGGCCGGGTGGGTGGGGGATGGGAGGGCGGGTGAGGGGGGCGGCGCGCGGAGGACTCGGCCCTTTCGGCCCATCTAGGGCCTCAATGGAAGGCTTGCGCCATTTTGATATTCAGGTAAAAGCCGTTGGAAGAGATTTGCCAGTTAATTGTCCTCAAGATGGCTTTTTGCTGGGGGGTGGGCAGGGAGCCCCCGGGGCCTCGGATTTAGCAACTGTGGGGGGAATCTGGACATTCGTTCTGCGTGGGGAGGAAAGCGCGACGCTTCGAGGCCACGGCGCCGCCGATAGGTGCAGCCTTTCGGGAGGGGTTTTGGGGGCGCCGGGTAATGTGTGGGCGTTGGGGGGCCGCTTGCGAGGCCATCGGTGCGCGGGAGGGTGTCCGGCGCGGGGGAATCGGCCTCGTGTCCGAGCCGCGAACACAAAATGCCGGCCTTGGACATGGCGGCGGCGCCTTTGTTACCCCGCCCGGCGGAGGAGCTCAAAATGGCAGCGTCGAGAAAATGTGGCGCAGAGAGAAATGCGAGACAAAGGGGGAAGCGCCGCCCCAGCGGGAACGCCGCCCGGCCGGCTCCGCCCGGGCCGGGACTCCTCCCCCGGTAGTCGCCGGCTCCTCCTTCTCTTTTTCCTCGCGTTATATAATTTTGCTACCTTGGTCGGGAGCTCTTCCGCGGGGTTCCCCCACTTCAGTTCTCCTGCGTGATTGTACCCGAGAACACCCTCCTCGTTTGGCTGCTTTCACTACTAGGGCTGTCCCGTTATCTATCAACACCAAAGCTGCTTTGCTTGAAAACAGCCGCAAAAACAACATCGTTGTTAAGCTGCTTCCTTCTTGTCTTTCTCCTACGTAATTCTTAAACTCGCGGGAAAGACTAATAGTAGATGCAAGCTGTTGTTTACGCTTGTAATCTGAACTTATGCCTTTTGGGCAGCCAGTTTCCCACCTATGAATCCTAGGCTGTTTGGCCCCAATAGTGTGTACTGGGACCAGGGGAAGTGAGACATGCGACGCCAATTGTGGCTGTCAAGAGAATGACTGTTTCTAAGGATAAGTGATGGGCCTATCTTTAAGGAAGGACTCAGGTTGTATATCTGCATAAGGATACATTAGCCAATGTCAAGGGATAATAAGTGAATGTGTATTCGAATCTGTGGATTTTGGAAATGTAAGTAACTTTTTTCCCTAATTTCAGGTTTGGTGCACCTCGATTTGGAGGGAGTAGGGCAGGGCCCCTATCTGGAAAGAAGTTTGGAAATCCTGGGGAGAAACTAGTTAAAAAGAAGTGGAACCTTGATGAGTTGCCCAAATTTGAGAAGAATTTTTATCAGGAACACCCTGATTTGGCTAGACGCACAGCAGTGAGTAATTTCTTATGGTTTCTAGTAAGTCAGAATTTGATAGGTATCTTGAAAATAGCTCCAGTTTTGGGAGAGTTAATTCTTTGACTTGGGGAAGAGGTATGACTTGCAAACAGGTGGCTTTGAATTTTCCATGTAAAATAGGTGGGGTGTAATAGGACAGGTGGTTTAATATTTTTGTATGTGAATGTAGTTAAAGTTCACTTGGGTCCGTTATAAGATTTTTTTGTTGGTGGTGATCTAGTTAGAGTCTAACTAATCTGCCCTAATTTGTTTTGTAGCAAGAAGTAGAGACATACCGAAGAAGCAAGGAAATTACAGTTAGAGGTCACAACTGTCCAAAGCCAGTACTGAATTTCTATGAAGCAAACTTCCCTGGTAAGTGCTAGTTCTCAGTTTCCATCCCCTTTCATGTTCCATCCTTTTTCATGGTATTAAAATTTTTTACTGAAATTATTTTATTGATGACAGCAAACGTCATGGACGTGATTGCAAGGCAAAACTTCACGGAACCCACTGCAATTCAAGCTCAGGGATGGCCAGTTGCTCTAAGTGGATTGGATATGGTTGGAGTAGCACAGACTGGATCTGGAAAGACATTGTCTGTAAGTTAGAGTTTAGTCACATTGTAACTTTTGGGTTAACTGGATGGTAAATACCAAGGAAGATGGAGGTAAAGGAAAAATAGCATTCTGATGTGTTCTTTCATGGTCCTTCTTTTCCAATAGTATTTGTTGCCTGCCATCGTCCACATCAATCATCAGCCATTCCTAGAGAGAGGTGATGGGCCTATTGTGAGTATATTTTTTAGATATTTGGCCAGCAGGATATTGTGGAGATGGGTAGGCTGTGTAGCAAACAATTTCCTAATTTGTTGTGCTTTTATATGTAGAGGTGTTAGTATTTTCGTCCAATTTAGCTTGAGCTACCTTAAGTATTATAAAGCATAAATAATCTGCCAGTACAAATTTAGCATTTTAAAGCAAGTGTCCACCTGGTTCAATTCCTAGTACCCCTCTCCCACCCAGAGAAAAAACTTCACAGACAGACCTAGTGTCGAAGCCTGCTTAAAAACTTATTTCTTTTCCTTAGTGTTTGGTGCTGGCACCAACTCGGGAACTGGCCCAGCAGGTGCAGCAAGTAGCTGCTGAATACTGCAGAGCTTGTCGATTGAAGTCTACTTGCATCTATGGTGGTGCTCCCAAGGGACCACAGATCCGTGATTTGGAGAGAGGTATGCAATTTAAAAGGTTTTCCTCATCCTTAGCAGTGACATAAGTTCTAGGTATTAGTTATATTTATCCATTTAATTGAAGGTGTGGAAATCTGTATTGCAACACCTGGAAGACTGATTGACTTTTTAGAATGTGGGAAAACCAATCTGAGAAGAACAACCTACCTTGTCCTTGATGAAGCAGATAGGATGCTTGATATGGGCTTTGAACCCCAAATAAGGAAGATTGTGGATCAGATAAGAGTAAGCACCCTTGTATATGTTGCCTTTCAGACTCAATTCTGAGTTTTTTAGAGTACAATTTCATCTCCTCTCCCCCATTTTTCAGCCTGATAGGCAAACCCTAATGTGGAGTGCGACTTGGCCTAAAGAAGTAAGGCAACTTGCTGAAGATTTCCTGAAAGACTATATTCATATAAACATTGGTGCACTAGAACTAAGTGCAAACCATAACATTCTTCAGATTGTGGATGTATGTCACGACGTAGAAAAGGATGAAAAGTTAGTATTTTATTTTTGATTCTTATAAAAATCTTACGCAGTGAAGGAATCATTGTGTCATGGGTCCTCTTAAAAATGACTTTAAGGGGCTGAGTTGTAGTTCAGAGGTACATGCATGTCTAGGTTTGTCCCCAGCACCACATAAAAATAAGAAAAAGATACTTTGTCCACTTACAACTTAAAAAAAAAATTGGTTTTTGTAAAAAGTGACTTTAACTTGATAATATGAATGTATTTATTTAAAATTATTCTGCCAATCCTATCACCATTGATCTGCTTTTAAAATGCATGATTTTTCGTTTATCTCCAGACTTATTCGCCTGATGGAAGAGATCATGAGTGAGAAGGAGAATAAAACCATTGTTTTTGTTGAAACCAAAAGAAGATGTGATGAGCTTACTAGAAAAATGAGGAGAGATGGGTAAGTGGGCTTCCTCAGTTGAAATAATGTTAGGAAAATGCAAGTGATGAATCTTGGGTTTCATTTATGGGGATCATATGATAAGAAAAATTGTCTTATTTCTGGTGAAATGAAAGAGGTCTGCTACCTGAAATGCTAGAATCTGCCTCAGGTTTTAAATGTTAGTCTGCTAATGTAGCTTTTTAATCTAGGTGGCCTGCCATGGGTATCCATGGTGACAAGAGTCAACAGGAACGTGACTGGGTTCTAAATGGTAAGTATTTAAAATATAGAAAATTTCTTATTAATTTGGATTTTTTTGCTCAGATTAATGGTTTTATATATATGCCTTCCTTTGTAGAATTCAAACACGGAAAAGCTCCTATTCTGATTGCTACAGATGTGGCCTCCAGAGGGCTAGGTTAGTACAAACTCGCATTCATGGCTTGGTTTCCCAGAAGATCTCCATGTAGTTTTTTTAAAGAAAGTTTATTGCTTTCTTTAACCTCTGCATTTTTTCCAAGTTTTTTTCACATAAAGGTGCAGTCTTTGTGGCAAGGCCTAGGCATGACAATCGGAGGACTCGAGGGGGATGGAGGACTAGTGATCGGCTGGCTGCTTCCAGTCGATTAGAGAGGTGAAAAGCTGAAAGTGTGCCAGTAATCTTCAAAGGGCAGAACATACCATCTCTGCCCCATAAACTGTTCTCTCCGGGGGAAAAAAATGGAAGTTATCCTCACAGTTCACTGCCGTGGTATTTCTTCTGTCCCATGCTTTGCATGATTGCCATGGTACAGCATTGTTTCCAAATGTTTACTGTGATCTGTGGGTCTTTGAGTTTCAGTGAGTTTGCTGAAATGTCGAAGAAATATTTCCAAACTTCAATGTTCAATGAAATTTTTGTTCAAGTTTGAAATGGAGAGAGCAGCTTTAAAAGGTACTAAGCCTTTTACAAATTGGTGAGTACTGGCACATGAGACCTAGAGCAGGAGCAACTTCTCACACTTAGTCAGTGGGAAAAGAAAGCAGTGCTTTGAAAGTTCCTCCCTCACCTACACAGTAGTCGTCATGTCGAGACCTGCCAGAGAGAGACACATTCTCAAGTGAATCCTGGCTTCTTGGAAGCGCTTGCCTAGACGAGACACAGTGCATAAAAACAACTTTTGGGGGACAGGTATGTTTTTCTTGCAGCTGCGGTTGTAAGGTCTTGGCAAGACAAGCAGTGTGGCCCGAATTTTGAACTTCTGATGAGTGTGTAATGCAAAGGACCTTGTACGTTTTTGTTCAAAGGTCCTCAAAATGAGCACATGAAGAGGTTGCTGTGAAACTATAAGTGGCCCTACTGCGCAGAAGCATTCAGATGTCACTTGATGATCTGTAAGGGGACTTGCCGATTTGGGAATGTGCTAGGGAGAATACATATTCCTTTCGACAGGTGCTATCACTGGGTGGGCAATGACCTGTACAGATGCCATGTGCTTTTTTTTTTTTTTTCTTTTTTTTTTTTTTCAACCTCAATGGTATTCCTACAGAGAATGGATAACCATTTTAACTGTATTTTTTGCAGCCCGTACCTTCTTGGGAATACAATTGTCTAACTTTTTATTTTTGGTCTGGCTGTTGTGGTGTGCAAAACTCCGTACATTGCTATTTTGCCACACTGCAACACCTTACAGATGTGGAAGATGTGAAATTTGTCATCAATTATGACTACCCTAACTCCTCAGAGGATTATATTCATCGAATTGGAAGAACTGCTCGCAGTACCAAAACAGGCACAGCATACACTTTCTTTACACCTAATAACATAAAGCAAGTGAGCGACCTTATCTCTGTGCTTCGTGAAGCTAATCAAGCAATTAATCCCAAGTTGCTTCAGTTGGTCGAAGACAGAGGTTCAGGTAAGGCTACTTCAATAAGATATATGGGTACTTTTGGGATCACATTGCTATCTACAAATCCACTTAAATGGAACCTGGAGGGTGAGTAAAATTTTGAAATTTCTGTTGTGAAACTGTAAAACCCACTTCAAACCTAGCATGAATAGAGCTACCCAATTCTTTCTTTGTTCGCAATAATTTGTGCCATAGACCTAATTGATCAATTTGCAATTATTTTCTTAACAGGTCGTTCCAGGGGTAGAGGAGGCATGAAGGATGACCGTCGGGACAGATACTCTGCGGGCAAAAGGGGTGGATTTAATACCTTTAGAGACAGGGAAAATTATGACAGAGGTTACTCTAGTCTGCTTAAGAGAGATTTTGGGGCAAAAACTCAGAATGGTGTTTACAGTGCTGCAAATTATACCAATGGGAGCTTTGGAAGTAATTTTGTGTCTGCTGGTATACAGACCAGTTTTAGGACTGGTAATCCAACAGGGACTTACCAGAATGGTTATGATAGCACTCAGCAATATGGAAGTAATGTTCCAAATATGCACAATGGTATGAACCAACAGGCATATGCATATCCTGCTACTGCAGCTGCACCTATGATTGGCTATCCAATGCCAACAGGATATTCTCAATAAGACTTTAGAAGTATATGTAAATGTCTGTTTTTCATAATTGCTCTTTATATTGTGTGTTATCAGACAATAGTTATTTAAGAAACATGGGAAATGCAGAAATGACTGCAGTGCAGCAGTAATTATGGTGCACTTTTTCGCTATTTAAGTTGGATATTTCTCTACATTCCTGAAACAATTTTTAGGTTTTTTTTGTACTAGAAAATGCAGGCAGTGTTTTCACAAAAGTAACTGTACAGTGATTTGAAATACAATAAATGAAGGCGATGCATGGCCTTCCAATAAAAGATATTTGAAGACTGAATTAAGTGGAAATTGTACTTTATTTTACACATTGTCATGTAAAACTTGGCTTAGATGGTATGGGTTTTTGGTTTTGCTTTTTTAAAAAAAAAAAATTAAAGTGACTGATTTTTCCATTGGGAAATGGGAATCAAGAGGCCCCTTTAAAATGGGATGATTAAGGTAAATTTATGATTTTTAGACTAAATTGTATAAAAGCTTTGTCAGTAAGCTTCCAACATCAGGGAGTCATTTTTAATAGCCTGTTTTCCTTATTTGTTAGGATGAAAAAACAGTAGTAAGATAATAGAATCACCTGTATGGAATTGGAACAAACATGTATGACTGTTCTTTTGCAAAATCTATAAAGAGCTTCAAATAACTTGCTTTTTCAAGAAGATTGTATCAGCAGCTGGGTATATAGCTCAGCTCAGTTGGTAGAGTGCTTTCCTCACATGCAAAAGGCCCTGGGTTCAATCCCCAGTACCACAAAAAAAAAAATTCATGCTCTTGACTGTATTGTGAACAACAAACATTTAAGCCTGAGAGCTGAGTCTTTACTGATTGAATATGCATAATGTCCTTAGTGCAGATTACTTGTAGATTCTAGTCTTTAAAGACTTTTCAGGTCTCTTGGTCATACTGAGAGTCATGAATGTCCTCATAATTCAGGGAGTTCTAGAGGTCTTCAAACTGTAAGGTCTATTCATACTCTTAACGGGGAAAACCTCATCAAAATGTTTAATCTGAGGCAACATAACCAAAAGCACAGTGAATTATACAGGTCAGGTCTTCATGTTAGATTCTACATGAGTTTATTGCTTTAAAAGAAAAAAAATCCAGGGGATAGTATTAGAGTTAACTTTGGTTCACCCACCTTTCTAATTTTACCAATGACTACTTCCCTATAAGGTCTGTTATATATTTACCTTAGGATGTGGAAAGTCTAAAGGAGTCTTCATTTAAATTCTGAGGATTAAGTTGAGGCTTTGATGTTAATGCCTTACCTCTAAAATGTAAAATGAGAATATGCTTAGGGTGGGGGCTGGGATAGGGAGTGGTATTTCTGGAACTAATAAACATTGAAAACTGAATTCAGCCTCTAGTACCCTGCCTGAATAGTTTTCAGTGGCATGGGTTAGTCTTGTGATTTTTAACTTAGAAAAAGCTTTTGGGATAGGTTGGAGCACTTATTACATATTTATTGTTTAATGTCTTTAACATGAGCCTTTTTAATTTGTAAACATATGGAAGTGATTGTGGGACTGTGGAAAAAAACATTTACCTATTTATCTTTGAAATTTTAAGACAGTCCACTTTTTAGCATGTGTGTTGTGTCCAGCCTGTGGTTGTCTTTAATAAATGTGATTTTTTTTTCCTCCCCATTCTCTTCCTTTATTTATTTGCGAAGAAGCCTCTTCCCTAGTGAATTAGTGTAGAACAACATTTATTACTGTAATTGTTGACCTTCTCTCTCCCCCATCTGTTTGTTAACACCCACTTTGTAAGGAATTATTTCTTGAGCCTGTCCTACAACTTTTCCATGATCAACGTCCCCACCCCACTTCTTGGGATTGAAGTCGGGAGCATTTGACCATTAAATTACATCCTCATCCCTTTGGAGACAAGGACTGGCCAGCTGGCCTCAAAAACACATCCTGCCTTTTGAGTTGCTGGCGTTATAATTACGTGCCACCCGGCCCAGCAACGACCAAATATAACTAATTGAATTGCTAAATGACTACCCTTTGTAAACAGCCCCTTCCTTGGAACCTAGTGAAATGTAGCTTGTTACTCTCTACTGGGCCTATTAATCTTAAAACTTTCCAGAACCACCTAAGGGAAGCTATTAGGAAATGAACTTTGGAATCAGCGACTTTTTATCTCTGGCTGTATTTTCCCACTAAGCAATTAAAGTCTCTTCCTGTTCAAAAAGTGATTGTAAAGTCATCACGTCTGCTAGATAGGTGGTTGAGGGTTCTGATCTTGGGAGTCTAAACCCAGGCAAACATCCCCTTTTGAAAAAGGCTGCTTGTACGTTAGGGGTTCTGTATCAGGGGAGGGCTTTTTTAAAACAGCTGGAGGGATGGGGGTCATAGCTCAGTGGCAGAGCGCTTGCCTAGCATGTGTGAGGCACTAGGTTCCTATCTTGGCACCCAAGTCCATTGACTTTACTAAAGTATTAAAAAAAAAAAAAAAAAAAATGGCTGGAGCTCAGTTCAAGACCACTCCAGGAGCTTTCTACCGGCAGCATTTGCCCTGAAAGCCTGGGTCTAAACCATCATAAATGGTTAATTTTTTTTTTTTTTTTTTTTTTTTTTAATTTGGTGGGGAGGGAGTACTGGGGATTGAACTCAGGAGCATTCGACCACTGAGCTGTGGCTTTTAATCTGTCTCCTTTTGATCACCGGTGCTGACCTTACATCACGGGTCTCACTACGTTGCTTAGCGCCTCGCTTTTGCTGAGGCTGGCTTTGAACTCGCGAGCCTCTGGGAGTACAGGCGTGCACCACTGAGTCTGGCTAAAACCTTTTTAAAAATGGAAGCCAAATTTTATTTTTGTAGACACCTAAGATTAAGTAGTTTATTTAAATGGTGATTTGGAGAACACAAATTTTGGTCGTATTTCCGGATTTCAAAGTATGGAAGTTAAAGTTGACTCAAGTGACTGCAGGACGCTGGTGAAAATTAGGTGAGATACGGGTGAAAAAGGACCAATGACCAGCAATTGCCGGCAGGGGAGCCGGGGCGGGGGGCCGGCGCTACTAAACTACTGTTGAGTAGGTAGACAGTAAAGAGCCCGTGAGCAACACCGGGCGGGGCAAGCCGGAAGTGGCTGTCAATTCAGTGATTCACTTCCGGAGGCGGGTCCTTCCAGCGCATGCTCGTTTCCATCGCCTGCGGCGGCGTCCTCGAGAATTGCTACAGTTTGTGGCAGTTTGTTGGGCTCTTCACAGTGATGGGGTATCGTGCTCTTTAACTCTTGAAGGAGATGCGCTCTAATGTAGCCATCAGGGCCTGCCGAAAAGTCTGCAGGTGTCTGTTGTCTGGGTTTGGGGGTCGAATAGAAGGGAGACAAGCCGAGCGTTTGGCGGAAAGGAGTGGCTCCCTCGGAGGGCACCCGAACGCCCACGCGGAGCTCGCCCGGGGCTGCGAGGAGACGGAAGCCCCCGAGTCTGCAGAGAGTGAGGCGCTGGTGGAGGTTTGTCAGAGAAGGCATTTTCTTAGCGGAACTAAGCAGCAGCTTAGCCGAGATTCTCTTCTGAGCGGGTGCCACCCGGGTTTTGGACCTTTAGGCATAGAGCTGCGGAAGAACCTGGCCGCAGAATGGTGGTCCTCGGTGGTGGTGTTCAGGGAGCAGGTCTTCGCGGTGGACGCCGTCCACCACGAACCAGGCCCTTCACTGCCGGGAGACGGCGCCTTCAGGTTAGTTTCGGCAGAAACTCTACGAGAAATCTTGCAAGACAAAGAACTGAGTAAGGAACAGCTAGTAGCATTTCTTGAGAACTTATTAAAAACTTCTGGGAAACTCCGGGAGAATCTTCTTCACGGTATGGTTCTTCACGATTTCATGCTTCAAAAACAGGTTTGGGGTAGAAAGGCAATCTCACTAAGTTTGGGGATTGCATCTGGTCCTTTTTTTCCCCCCATGCAAAGGAAGTCATCTGGGTCTCGCCTCATTGAAGTGGTCCGTGGAGCAAATTGGTCCATGGAATTATTACTGTTTCTTAAAGAATTTGAATGGAAGAAGCTAGTAATGCTCTCAGTTTCACCGAGCAACCCCATAGACTTTTACAGCTCAATTGAATAGCCTATAATTAAGAGCTGAGTTCAATCAAGTGTTTGAACCATTTGCTCATTGTTAACAAAAATGTTTACAAATATTTCCACAGTTACCTAATCGACTAATCAAAAGGTTTTTCTTTTCCCGCTTGAGCAAAAGGAAAAATTCATCCTTTCTCCCCAAATTAATCTTACTGAAAACTGATCTGCAGACTGGTTTGACCCTTTAGGTAATGTTTGAGTTTGCCAACTCTTAAGACTAATCAAGCTATATAAGTATTTGTTGAGTGAATACACAGTAATTTGTGGGGCATTGTTGGCCTTTAAAGTCAAACACAACATAATGCCAAAATTCTGAAAGAAAAAAGGACCTCGGGTTCTTTACAGGACATACTTGCTGCCATAGGGTCTCATTTTTGTGAAATTTTGTCCTTGCCATCTTAGTACTATAGAGTAACTTAAAATATCGTAAACATCCATAGTTATGCCCATATTGTATCCTTTTAAAGATTTTCTTAATGAAATAAAGCAAATAAAAACAAACTGGTCAGATGCTGAGGTTGTGACTCAGTGGTAGAGTGCTCACCTAGTATGCATGAGGCACTGGGTTCGATCCTCAGCACCACATAAATATAAAGATATTGTGTCAACCTAAAACTAGAAAATAAATATTTTAAAAAATTGGTCATCAGTATGATGGTTTATATTCATAACACTTTATTTCATGATGGCTTTACTTTGGGATGTTGAATCACTATCTGCTCATTTACCATGACCAGGAAACAGATCATCTTCTTTCCTGTCTGTTAAATGGAAGCATGGTCTTTCCAGGTGCAGAATTAGAAAATGAAACATCCATTCATTTGAGCATCTATTTAGTTAGGAAACTTACTTGATTTAACTGCCAGTTCCTTAGTTGTCTAGTGTTTTTAGCTTAAACTTTCCCAGTTTGCCTTTTTTTTTCTGTTCCAAGTGCCTTTGTGCCCTTCCATCCCATATCTGAACTGTTGTGATACCCTCTACTTATAAGTTTTAAAAGTTTCTTAGCCATTCTGTCTCCAAATACTGCCCTGCGCTATTTTTATGCCTATATGTGGCTAATTATGTTAGACCTTTTCCCCATCTTGTCATCAATTTTCTTCAACACATTAACCATGTTTTAATGTTCATGTCTAATAACTCTAATGTATCTATTTTTAGTATCTGTTTCTCTCTGAGCTTTTGGTCATTTGGACTCTG